TATATATATATATATATATATATATTACATTAAAACACTTGAGTTAAAATTACGACGGATTCGGTAGTAGCTACCCGTTCGAACGCCGAAGGGTCGAAAAGTTGTTTGAGATTTGTTAGTGGCCGTACTGTCTGCGAGGCGAGGCTGTTGAACCCGCATAGATACACAGTAAGGCCGCCCTCTAGCATGCGCGTCGGTCGCTCGCTCATTTACACCCGGCAGGCCAGTGATCGGCCGCTGCCAACTGTTAAAGCCGCACCACCTTGAATGCGCGTACGAATGATTCTTTAACTTCGCCATAGAACAATGCGGCGAGAGATATCAGATGTCTCGCGCAAGACGCCATGAATGCGGTGCGCGGCTCTGCCTCGGCGTGCCGACCTTTGATTGCACGTCGGCTGGCTGGGAACACTGCCAACTATTACATCGGACGTCTTCAGACGCCACGCACGAGGCGGCTACGACTGAATTAGAGGCTCGCGCCCCTAACGAAACAAACTCGTCATGCATTTTGAGCAACTTCGGGGCAGTAGTGGTTGTGATGGGGGTTAAGAATTGAATATACATCTCATTGAAACCCGTATTGCTCTCTCTGATCAGCGCTGCGGTAATTCGCGGGCGATAGCAATTACATAAGCAGGGAGCCGTAATAAGATCAGCGCTGGTAAGAAGTGCGTATAATTATACGAATGAACACGAGTTCACAGTGCTGAGTGATAACAGAAATACGCCCTTAGACGGAGAGGGATACGGGCAATGTGTGCACGTTTTTGCGAATTCTACTAAAAGCGTTTACCCGAGACGGTAGATAATTTTTACAAGGCATTTTGACAAATATACGCGTTGCATAAGCCCGATGTCGTATTATTGTGTTTTGTAAATTCTAGTGAAAGTCTTCCAAAATAATAACTATGCTTCAAATAATATAAACACTTAAAAGAAAATACAAACATGCGCAAAACACTCTACAGATATATATATATATATATATATATATATATATATATATATATACACATATATATATACATATGATATATGTATATATTGGATATTTAACTCTACTGTAGAAAACGAATGTCGCTTTACCACAGAATGTCATTATTTCAGATCCCTATGGCAATATCTATTCTCGGATTTTTTCGGCAGTCTCAAACACATTCATGTACTAAAACTCAATAGACAAGTCATACTTCCTAATGGCTTCACAATAACGTTCCTTAATGCGAACATTTGTGAAATACCCGTACAGTCTATTAGGAAAACGCGAACCATGTGTGAAATTCTACCTTCAACATTAGTGATAAAATGTTATTTGTAATATATATTAAATTACATGAAATTTGAAAATATGTATGTACGGTCTACAATACATCCCCTGGCGTGTTGTATAACTCCAGATGCCAATGAATACTTGATGATACTGGCTAGTGTAGTTACGATACTTCATCGTAGATTCGTCTGTTTTCAGTTGTTGGCGCGCGGAGCTTCTATGGTACGTCAAGCACGGACCAGCAGTCCAAGGTCTACTTCGATCCTCTCACACCGAGGAACATTACGGGAGAGGTGGACAAAACGGTTTATCTGCAATGTAGAGTACACAACATCGGTGACAAGCATGTGAGTGTAATTATGTGCCGATGTATATTGTTGCGACTGTATAACACGGTGACAGCTCGCTAGTCTGAAGGTTCACTAGTCCGAAGGAAGGTTTACTAGTCCGCAGGTTTACTAATCCGAAGGTTCACTAGTCCGAAACACTCACAGGGAATGTAGAATTGGCAGAAGGTGTGTGGGGGAGATGTGTGTGTGTGGGGGTGGGGGGGGTGACAGCTCGCTAGTCCAAAGCGAATGTTCACTAATTCGAAGGTTCACTAGTCCTTAGTTCACTAGTCCGAAATACTCACAGGGAATGTAGAATTGGCAGGAGGTGTGTGATGGGAGATGTGTGTGGGGGGAGGTTTGGGAGAGGCTTTTAGTATTGCTCGGTTTTGTTACAATATAAGCATTTTACGGTACCGTCAACTGGGGTAGCTTTGAACACGCAATTTGAAAAAAAATTGGTTTGAAAAAATTTGGAATTTTGGTTTGAAACCCAAATATTAAATATTTCTATGAAAATGGACAAAAAGGTTTCAAAATAGAGGCAGAATTTTTCCAAACTAGAAGCTGAGTGGGTGGAGAAATGAAGCAACTGCAGACGATCTAAAATGGTTACATACTTCGTTTTTTTGCTAAATTTTATCAAGTTTCCATAATAGGAAATTTTCTAATATGGACTCTTGATTATATCAGTGAAAATGTTTAGTTTTTCCTTCGGACCAGTGACTCTTCGGACTGACGACCTGTAACCGTGTAACACAGTTTCGCAGTTTTGCTACTTCTCATCAAGATGCCGTTTGTTAAGTAGACGTGACCCTGTCTTATACCCCGTACAGACTACGAATTTGATATGGTACTAAACTAGCGCCTGCTAAATATTGCAGTGTGTACACATTATCCCGCTCCAGTTACGCGGTGGCCCGCTCCAAGTTAGTCCCCCGTACGAAGCAGGGCTAAGTTAGTGCGCACCAAGTTATCCCGCTCTAAGCTGTGTCTCTACCACTGATCTCTCTTATACTAACGTTAGTATAAGTTAATATAATAGAGATCAGTGGTCTGTACATAATCCGGTGCCTAGTGCACGCTAAGTTTCGCAATGCGCATGCACATAGCCTTATTTGGGTCACCGCTGTACCTCGCTGTCTGTGGAGTGACGTGGCGAGCAGGGAACTGAGCGGTGGGAGAACTGATGACTTATTTAAAGTAGGGTCAAATATGCAGTCTGTACGCTCCTAGTTAGCGCGCGTCTGACGCGCGCTAAAATTCGTAGTCTGTGCGGGGTATTAGACATCCTAACCACTTTTGGCCCTGCGTATGTTTTACTTGTTTTATATACATTGTTATATTATATTATGTACATTAACATATGCTATCTATACACATTATGCTATGTATATATGCTGCACATATATGCGTTATACAATGTGTTTGTGTATGTGGGTGCGTGCGTGCGTACGTGGGGTTAGTTCGCGTATGTGTAAAATATTTGTGTACGAAAGGTCAGCTCATTCGTTTTCCTTAACCAGCTTTACTATTCCTTAAGGACTGCTGGAGCTGTATAGGAGATTATCATGTGCACCGTAACAGTAAATACCGTAGTCGACATACAGCTGTTCGCTAGTGATTCTAATCTACTTATTAGTTAATTATATATTAATGTGCGTGGATACATCTCTAAACAAATCGGAAAATGTTTTTTTCGTCGCTGCAGAGTGAACAATCCTCTTGTGACAGCGGTTTTAATTTCCACATCGGCGACTACACAAGCATTAACTGTAAGCGCATAATACATGCGACGCGTATTTAGCTTAAAGCCGATTTCCGAAAACTTATTTCAAACGTTGGACTGGGAAATGGTGGTGATCGAACCGGAACAGGAAAGACTAATCTTCTCGCATTTGATCTGCTAATATTACAAACTGCTTCAAATTATGTTGATGTGATACGCTCCGATCTTGCCAAGCTGCAACGCACGGGTATATGTATATAACTATAATATCACAGAGCATAGTATATAATTATGTTCACATTAGGTTATTTTCTTGTTACAGCTTCATTGGTACAATTCGAACAACCCAGTAATTAATTGTTGGTTCTCACAGCCATGCTAACTATTGATTGTTCTTATAAAATGAAAGTTAGAGGTGATACCGTGACTGCTGTGTGTTTGTCGTATATTCCAGTGTGCAGTAATTAAAATGAAAGAAATCAGTGTAAGTGTCAGTATCGTTGTAATCGTGCGTCGTGCGCATTTCACATGTGAGCGGTGGTGACTACACAGCGGCGGGCGCGCGTTTCTCGGTCTGTATATGTGTGTGCGTGCGGACGCGTGCTCGCTAGCCCGTCAATACGTGCGTGCATGTTGCGCGTGTACATGCGCCATCGCGTGTGTGATGTCGGGTAATTATTATTGCAACCACAACGCTCCTGTGCCTGCTTACGTACACGCGGGGATAGAGAGCTGACTAGATGATGAATTATTTTCGTCAATAAATTTTTCTAGTGGTATGTGTTCAGATCAAATGATCTCTGAAATGTAGCGACTAATATAATATGATCCGCCTAATGGGCAGGTGGTGGTAATAATAGCGATGAAAATATTTACAGGTATAAAATAACAGTTTGATCAAGTACAGTATATATGTGTACTTTATACGAATTCTGCGTAGTAGCACCTGTATATTGTAAGTCTATATGGATTCCTATTATGTGAACCTATTCTAGTGAGTTTCAACATTAATGTTGTTCATGTGTTAAAGTACAGCGTTTTCTGCACTACACGCTTCCTTCGTCAATGCATTCATGTATATCGCAAACAAAGATGGTGAGGGAAAAACGTATTAGCTCTGATGCATGTCGGAGGCAAGCCGCTGAGATGTAGCGCCATGAAAAATTAAAATCGTACAATTGTGAAAAGCCTAAGCGAAGTGAAATCTAGCAGACGAAGGTAAAGACGTACTGATCTAATTTATTAATCAGCAACAGCTATGGAGAAAGAGAGAGAGAGCCGGAGAGATAGATACAGAATGAGAGCAAACTCGAAAGAAATGCGTAAAGCAAGCGAGATAATAGATGTAAGCACATGAAGTAGAGAAGGAGAAGAGGCGATGTAGAAAGACGGAGCGAGTGGGATAGAAAAAGATAGGGATAGACGGGGGAAGAATGGTAATGGAGTAGAGAGAGGGAGGTGTAAGCTCATAACAATACGCGAAAGAAAGAAAGAGAGAGAGAGAGAGTGAGAGAGAAAGGGAGAGAGAGCGCGCGCGAAAGAGTGAGAAAGCGAGAGAGGGGGACGGGAATGTATGATAGAGCGAGAGTGGATAAGCTGGCGGAGGTGACAAAATTGAGAAAGTGAGAGTATAGGGGACATATAGCACGATAAAGAAACATAGAGTAGCAAGGAAAGAGGAGAAAGAGAAGTTGGAGGACGGTGAGAAAGTAGTGAATTGGGGATATGAAAATGGGACGAGCGTCATACGGATAGGGAGAGGAGGGTAAGGTGATCGAGAGGGTAGACGAAATTTGCGAAGAGGAAGAGGAATGAGAGGGCTTGAGAGATTTACAGGGTGGGAGGGTAGAGGAAAAAATCTATGAGAGGTATAGAATATGCACAATTACCTTTGTGTGGTTTCCGCTCACGCGCCCGTGCATGCATTCGCGCGCGCGCGCGCCCGTGCGTGTGTGTGTGTGTGTGTGTGTGTGTGCGTGCGTGCGTGCGTGCGTGCGTGGTGGCGCGCGCGCGTGTGGTGGTTTGTTGTGAGGGTAGAGTGTTGCGTGCGCGTGCGCGCGCGTGTGTGCTTGTGTGTGCTTGTGTGTACAATTTTCCCTGAAATCTATCACTTATTACATAATGCGTCCGGCTATATGAGTATAAGTATTATATTATAATAGTATATAATATATATTAATATTTATATTACATAATACAATAGTTACTTAGCATTCACTTGGTTGTATTTTGATTATGCCTCGATCACTTTTTGTCATTAATAGTACAGCATAATATTTGTTGATAAAAAAGCATTAGCAACACCTAGAGGGATGACAACCGCATAGCTTGTCAGGTCCGTGGTTACACCCATAATTGCTTTTTATCCAGCAAAATGTCACCGCAAGATTGTCTGCATTGGCTTTCAGAAAGCACGCGTTGAACGCATGCATAAAAGTTTTCTAGACTTAACGATCGAGTTATATATCTATATATTCAGGGCAATATTATTAATGACAAATTTCTCATTATTAACCCCTGATATGATGGAAATTCCAGCGCGCAGTTGCATTTATTTGTACGAAAACTTGTGAAACATTGAAAAATATAAAATGCATTTCGCACGGAATGAGGGATATATGAATGTTATGTATCGAGTATACACTCGATATATATAATGTTTTCCCGATATAATCCAATGTTCAGGTGGTTGCCTTCATAACTTTACCTAATAATCGACCTATTGGTAACACTGATGTCGCCTACCTTTGGTTTTGTTTGTATTGATACTACGGCGTAGTGTTAATATCTGCAGTGTTCTGTACTGATCAGGAAGTGCTCAAATCACATGGATCTGTATTTGGATCGTCATTGTCTATATTATTATATATCTACACTTGCGTCATACTCCAGACCTTGTTAGCACATACACACGCACGCTAGCGCGCGCTCGTGCGCATACACGCACACCGGTTAATCCGTCCGCCAGTATGTGAAATACTGACATAGCGCTATTGCGCCGCAACGTCACTATTTCACATACGCAGCGTAGAGCTATGTAGAACTGTTACGTATTGCTCGGAGCTGTACGTCACTATTCTACGTTGTGCTCGCCAAGCTATGTGAACATTTTACATAATGATTTTGTTGGCGTTTGCCGATAGACGCCACTGTCACCATTTTGTATACCTATTATGTGTGATAAATTCAATAACTTTTATTGAAGAGTAGAGTATTAGAACGTATTTGTAGAGCTGAAACAAAAGATTCTGTTGTAGGACGTGTGTTAGCGGTAAGATCTTTGACATTCGATACGTTAGTGTATTTGTCGCAGATAAGTGCACGAGAAACCACTACCAGCCAGGTTGATCGGAGCCAGCAATGTATTGTTGGAAAATAGGTAGCCTACCTATTAGCTAAAAAAAAAAGCTAATATTAGTAGGTCTGTACGCCGTGCAAGACGGTCTTTGATATTCTAAGATTATGTCTACATGTTCGATCACTCGTGTGTAAAATATGCGGTCCACAATTAGGGGGCCGAGTAGTAGCAGGAGTAAGATAATATAGAATATTAGTATTGCTGATAGGGTCTATGTCCCCCAGGGTACTGCCGGAACGTACCCTGGGTTGGTCCGGTATACCAAAACGTACCCTGGTACTAAATACTACTATCTAATATGCCGGCCCGTACCTCGCCTACTCCACTAACGAGTCTAGGGAGTCGCCTACGCTTACTCCCTAACCCTAACCCTAACTCTAACCCTAACCCTAACCCTAACCCTAACACTAACCCTAACCCTAACCCTAACTCTAACCCTAACCCTAACCCTAACCCTAACACTAACCCTAACCATATCAGCTAGATAGTTACCAGGGTACGTTCCGGTATACCGGACCGTACCCAGGGTACGTTCCGGCAGTACCCTGGGGGACATAGACCCTATTAGCATTAGTATTACTACTATTACTAACTACTAGTACTAGTACTAGTAGTAGTACTAGTACTAGTACTAGTAGTACTACTACTACTACTACTACTACTAGTACTAGTTCCCTAACCAACTTTGAACTTACTAATACTACTACTAGGCCCCCTAATTGTAGACCGCATATTTTACACACGGGTGATCGAACATGTAGACATAATCTTAGAATATCAAAGACCGTCTTGCACGGCGTACAGACTTACTAATATTAGCTTTTTTTAGCTAATAGGTAGGCTACCTATTTTCCAACAATACATTGCTGGCTCCGATCAAACCTGGCTGGTAGTGGTTTCTCGTGCACTTATCTGCGACAAATACACTAACGTATCGAATGTCAAAGATCTTACCGCTAACACACGTCCTACAACAGAATTTTTTATTTCAGCTCTACAAATACGTTCTAATCCTCTACTCTTCAATAAAAGTAATTGAATTTATCACACATAATAGGTATACAAAATGGTGACAGTGGCGTCTATCGGCAAACGCCAACAAAATCATTATGTGAAATGTTCACATAGCTTGGCGAGCACAACGTAGAATAGTGACATACAGCTCTGACCAATACATAACAGTTCTACATAGTTCTACGCTGCGTATGTGAAATAGTGACGTTGTGGCGCAAGGGCGCTATGTCAGTATTTCACATACTGGCGGACGGATTAACTGCGCACACATACCCACGCATGCACGCATGCACATACACGCACGTACACATACATGCATGCTCGTACACGCAGACTCGCTTTCTCTCGCTCGATCTCTCTCCATCTCCCTCTATGTCATGTTGATATATCGGACACAATAGTAATCGTCATCACAATTTTATGTGATAGGCCTATAGTTATAGATTATAGCTGTGCTGTATCGAAGCGTTTATAGTCCGATATGTTCTCGCTCGTTGATATTGAAATACCCTAATCGATGCGCTTTATTTTGATCGCGCAGTGCGATACGATATACCATTTGCTAGAAACTAAGTTTAGATTAAATTTTTATGACACGCGAGGATGATACTTCAACAATCGCGAAATACACAAGACTGCGAAATTGGGGCTACTGTTGCGCGATTGTGACTTGGTTTGCTGCAGTACTGGTTTGTTAATATGTAAACATCAAACATGCCTGTAACAAAAGTATACTTGTCTTTTGACCTAGGTTAGGCAACATTGTATCTAGAGAAAAAATTAAGAGATCTTGCCGTTATATCCCGTCGTCTGCTCGTATAGTGGCAGAACGCTTCTTTACATATGTAACGGATCGATTATGCTAAAATTTACAGACAATATTCTGAGATAGTTCTTATTACAGGAAGGGGCTGTGTAATACATCGGTCTGTCGGTGCAGCACATTATATGTAGGTTATATACCTTTTATACGTGGTTTTATAAGGTAATGCCATATAAAAAAATACGCGCAAAGCAAATCGCGCTAGCAGGCGTATAATCCGTTGGTGAGATGTATATAAATATCACGCGCTCCACATCCAAAACATCCATCGCAAAGGAAGTAAGGAAAGAAACCCGCTAGCTTGTTTGTCTGTTCCTAACGATTTTTGTACCATGTAAAAATGTGTTTATCTTCACGCAAGCTGCATTTCACGGAATAAATCTCTCTTCGCTATATTTTTAGCTCTTCTGCTTCATCGAAAAAATATCCACTCGTGCAATGCTTTGCGATAATCTAGTAATCTCTTTTCACAAGTTCTGGAAAAAAGTATTGAATTCACCCTAATTCTTTGAAAATAGAAAGCTCATTAACGTGTGGAAATGGAGGAACGCCACGAAGGAAAATGTAGGAACCAGCGGTAAATGACGCGCTTATCAGAGGAAAGCTGCAATAAGGACATTTTCCTGGTCTGTTAAAGGAAACCTCCTGATTCAATCATCAGTCAGTTCTCTTCATGGTAGAAATTTCACGCATTTGCATACGAATACGTACAAAGCCTGCTCTAGCCATACAATCAAACAATTAATTTAATCATGTATTGAGAGTGAACCTGAGGAGGATTACCGGTAAATGCTTAATCTGCGCATGGTTTGACAAAATTAGTATATTAACTCGCGAGTGTGCGTCCGTTACATGCATACGTCTGTGTGTGCGCGCGCGCGCGCGCGTGTGTGTGTGTGTGTGTGTGTGTGTGTGTGTGTGTGTGTGTGTGTGTGTGTGTGTGTGTGTGCGTGTGTGTGTGCGTGCGTGCATGCGTGAGTGCATGTCTGAACGTATGTATGCATATTCACACATATGCCTGAGTCCACCACATATATCAGACGCGAACTGGAAGGAAACTAGCCTGCAATATAATATTTATCAATATGTAACACTCACTTCTGCCACAAACCACAATAATCACTCAAACGATGCTGCTATTTGTGACCAGCTAGCTATTCACTCGGTGTTGTTATACTTGTTCAAACACAATGAGAAATAAGACTCCTCTACGTTTACTCCGCTTTCAATATAGTAGTCATCAATAACAGATCTAGTGCGGCATTGATAGGCCATGTTGTGTATTGACAAATAATGATTATTTGCCTTATATTCGCAGACAACTATCTATATTTGCGATTTTTTCTGCGAAACATCGGTTCTTCATAATGAACTTGTTCAGTTGTAAAGTGTGACTTCAACCTGCTGTTTTTTCATTAACCCGATTCACCCATACTACTGGCTAATGGCCAGGGACAGTTCGCTAAATTTGCGTCAATATAGATATACGTATATTGTGTATCGCGTGCACTGACCAACGTCTCTAATTGCCCTCTCTCCGTTTTCTCCTTCGCTCTGTCGCATGCTCCTCGCTCTCTCTCTCTCTCTCTCTCTCTCTCTCTCTCTCTCTCTCTCTCTCTCTCTCTCTCTCTCGCTCTCTCGCTCTCTCTCTCTCTCTCCCTCTGTGTGTGTGTGTGTGTGCGTGTGCGTGTGCGTGTGCGTGTGCGTGTGCGTGTCCGTGTGCGTGTGCGTGTGAGTGCGCGTGCGCGTGCGTGTGTGTGTATATGCATGTATGCATCACCGTTATTTTCTCTGTCTCTAACTTTGCCTCTCTGTTTCCGCTCTGCGTCTCTCATGCTATGTAAGTTTTACTACAATTATGGTGAATAACCAGCGAAAGGACTGTATTTAAAAAGTCGGTACTCCTATTAAGGGTGTAATATTGTTTTAGATGCTTCAGGCTATATGGGTTTATGGGTTTAAACCATAACCGATATTATGTTTATAGACATTAATTTATCTATCTACTGGTATATATAGCGTCCGTGCAACCTTCGTTCTACTATATACGTAATTATATTATATATATATATATATATATATATATAGGCCTATATATATAATATATGTATTTATGTACTATTATACGTATAGCGATATTTAGCAAGGAAATGTGCGCAGCCTCATTACTTGCCGGTACATCAGCCTGACTTGCGTGACTATTGCTGGGTAGTTGCAACGTTCTTAAATTATATCGATTTACAGGGTGCCCTAATCTATACGCTATGCGCAACATTAAATCCTGGCCTTGCATGGCTTGAGATGGCTCCATCTCCCAACGTGACTACATTCAACTCCGGGACCCAATTTAGAACGGCCATCTGGTTCAGCGCATGTACTTTTCAATGCACCTTGTTCTTGCTTTGTGCCCATTACTATTTCGCAATCTCGAAAATATGTGACTTAATTTAGTATACGCGCAGTTACCCTGAACATTTGTGGTGGTTAGTAAATTGGTAGGTTAGTAAGGCTTAAAAATGACACATAAGGAAATATGTACTGTCTGATTGACTTGCACTCTCAATAATCGATACAGATAACCTATATAACTGTACCATTTACCAGATTTTTTCATCCCAGTTTCTATGTGTAACAAGACGATAATTACTATCCAGATAGACCTGCTGATGTGTAGCACCTATAACGGACGTATAGCGCCACCATCCGCGAACTGGGTTTCAGTACTAATGCCTATAACCACCGTATTTTCTCATACATGCTAGCGCTAAGTCAAAGTGGGAGAGACGTTAAATTTACGGTTATATTTTGTTTTTCTGTATGAGAATTAAGATGATAATGAAACGGGCAGGTGCCGTGCGTTGACAGCGCGAACATTTTCACCGTCGTTATAATCTATTCAATCACATACGTTTGTATATTTACCAGGTGTCGTGGATCAGGAAACGGGACTTGGCAATCCTGTCGATTAGCAACGTCACGTACACCAACGACGAGAGGTTCAAACTGATCCACGAGTCCGGTTCATTAGACTGGACGTTGCAGCTCAAATACCCTCGTCAGGAGGACTCGGGACTGTATGAGTGTCAAGTCAGCACACACCCGAAGCTTACGTTACTTATCTCACTGGACATATATGGTGCGTAAATGGTGGTAAATTATAGCGTAATTATGACATTTTTCGTAAGACACGGCCATTTGACCATTTTACACGTTCTTCTCAAGGTCGTATATAAACGTTGCAGCGGAACTATATATACATCGCCAAAGGTATCTACAGCTGTGGTAAATTTTTATAGGTACTAATATTCGTAGAAATTAAAGTGAAACATTTTAACACGTTATACGCTGTACATGTCTTTTAAATGATACCGAAAAGTTTGCGCAATTGTTCGATAACAAAATATAGATTTTCAGTTAAAACAATCGGGATATTGCAATTATACATCAAATAAAAGAGCTATCCAGCAACTGGCAGTAGCAGCGTTGGAAAGGTGATTAGTGAGGCAATTAACAGTTGTATGCTATTGCTGGCTATCACCCCCCCCCCGTGATGCGATTTTATTGCATTATGTTCGCTAGTAGCTGCCTGATGAAACAAGGAAATTATTAAGGTCATGGGGCACCTAATATGAAAAAAACGACTAGATTGATAGGGGACAACATCTTATTCAAGACGCGCTCACACGCCCACACACACACACACACACACACACACACATACACACACACACACACACACACACACACACACACACACACACACACACACACACACACACACACACAC